GTCGATTGTCAAAGTACATAATCAGTAGACGCTTTCATGAATGGAAATACAGGGTATACAACAAGATGCAAACCACTAGTTACACTCAACAAGAAGGCCAGATTGGACTTGACTAGAAGACATGTACGAGACCCTAAACAGGTATTTTGACTGACGAAACCAACAAACCTGTAGCAGAATGACCAGAAGAGAAAAGTTCAAAGGAGAACAAATAAGGATCTGGAGCATACCATATCATCTGTCAAACATGGTGGAGGCCATGAGGAACTGGGCCATTCATGTTTACTGATGATGTGACTGCTGATAGATGTAGCAGGATGAATTGTGAAGTGTACAGAGCTGCACTCTATGCTCAGATTCAGCCAAATGCCAGAAAACAGATCAGATTAGGGCAAATGGATAATACCTGCAAAAACAATCAAAGACTTGTCAAGGTAAAGAAATGAGATACTCTTCAGTGGTGAAGTCAGACACTGAAGACAAAACCAGCAGCAGAGAGGCCCACAATCAAGCAGCAACTGAAGGCAGTAAAGGCCCAAAGAAACAGCTCAAGGGAGAAAACACTGCATCGGTTGATGTCGATGGATGTGAAAGCAAAGGATTTTCATCAAGCAATTAAAAACAATATTTCTACTTCAATGTATGTTAGTTTGTTCAGATACTTTTAAACTTCAAGAACTTTTACCTTGAATATTTAATTGATTAAGAGCCAACAGGTCTTCCAGTATTTTCTTATTTCTACGCATTTAATTTTTTTGAGTGGTGTAGAAAGTAGAAGATGTTACAAAACCAAACTCTAGTAATGGTAGTGTTCTTAATATGGATCAAAGTAGGACGAATGATTGTCGTACATAGCTGACAGTAAGTTCCTGCTCAGTCCGGAGCAGCAGGACGCTCTGGTCAATAGCTCTAACAGAACACAAGGAGCCAGGGTGAGCCTTGAGACTGAGGGTGGTCCTCTCTGCTGGAAGCTCCTGGAGGGAGGAGAACTTCAGAGACACCTGTGTGGGAGATACCGAGGCGGAAAACAGATTAAGCCTGTCTATCCTTATGTTAGCTCTCTAAAATGCACACATCCTTCACTA